GTTTCTACTAACGATATTTCTCTTAACCTTAAAATAATCTTTTCGACTACTTCTTTTTCTTTTTCGCTAGAACGTTACGGAAACTCCAGCTATACAATTTTTGGTAATAAAATATCCATCAGAGGCGAAAGAATAGAGAAACTAACACTAGAATTAAAGCATAAAATATCTATCAAAGACAAAAAAAAAATACAAAAACTTTATGATATAACGGAGCATGCAAGTACTTTTATATTCGTACGTTTTATTACGAAAAATTATTCAAACCTTCAAAAGTACTGTGTTTTACGTCTAGAAAATGTATAACAAAAGTTATAAATTGTAATGTAATGCTAGCGTTAACTCAGCTGACAAAGCTAAAGTCGGGGGAATGACGTGGTGGAGGGGATGAACGACCAAAAGAGTGGGGGAATGACATGATGGAGGGGATAAACGACCAAAAGAGTGGGGGTACGGGCCAAGGTTGAAGCATAAAATTTCCATTACAGACATCGAAGACAAAAAAAAGGAAAATAGAGTAAATGTTATTTTTTAAACGTTAAAATAATTAACCTAACCTAACCTAAACGTTAAAATACACTGTTATTTATACGAAGCAGTAACTACCGCAGCAATAAACTTCAAACGAGATTTCTAAATTTAAAAAAAAAAATTTTTAAGAATAAAGAAAAAAAAAAGGAAACAGAAACGAAAGTAGGTATCGTTAGCTCTGAACTGGAGGAAAACTCCGTGACCGAACGCGCGATTCGCGATCCTTTCACGGTCGAGCGTATGTGTGCGTGCGCTCGGAAGGCTACAAGGATTTCTAATGCCTGGTCTCGTGGTCAGAATTATCCTTGCCGCGTTAATAAACCGCCGGCTGAGCTCGATATATCGCGTGTCGCGAAATTCCAACCAGCTGAGTCACGCGCGGCCCTGTTTCCCCGATCATTTCGCCCCGATACTTACTTCTAATCCATTGTCCAACAACAAGCGACGAAACAGCGATATTTGAAAAAATGAATAAACAAATTGACCGTCTCAACGAGCATTAACAATCTCATAAAAATGAAGACAAAGCGCGAGAATTTTCATTATTAACGACGAATAACAAGACGAATCACAATCGACAATGATCAGAATCCCTGAAATACAAAAATCGTATTTTCAATCGTAAATTAAATAATAAATTTACAACGATTCGTAGCATCGTAAAAATATAAATTTATAACCTAGTGAAATAATAAATTTCTTAATTCTCAGAATGTTTGTACAGGACATTCGGCAATCGATTTCGAGTTCGCGATTAATTTCGCAGTGTACAAGCCTGATTAACTGTCGCATGGGCTCGTTACACGGGCGGCGATTCGAATCGTGCCGATATTTGATCGTTATCGGTAATTCTATCGAGGAGATCATCGACGATCCCCGCATGACCGCGAATCTGTCGATCACGCAAGCAGCTGGCTGCAAATCGAGTTATTTCATTGGGAATTCAATCGGCTCATCGAGTCACGATTCATCGAGCTCCCTTCAGCGAACTTCATTCGACGAATGAAAAGCACTTGGCCAGTCGTGAATCGAGAATCTCCCTCCCTCTCTCCCGATGAGATAACGCTGGAATACCTGGAATAATCGCTGGAAATCGAGTTTCTCTTCGATCGGCGGGCCAGATCGTTTGTCGATAAACGAGCAACAAAGCCAGTGTCCCGATCGGCGCGTTTTAACTCCGATCATTTCCAACGCGTTTCGCACGGACGTTCTAACAGCGACTTTATGACTTTGAATTAGGTTTCAGTTAGGTAGGTAGTGTCAGTCTAAACAATAAAACTAACTCAAATGATAAAACTAATGCTAACGTTATATATTCGAAATATATAAACATTATATTCACGCGTTCAGAATCATAAAGTC